GTCAGTTCCCATGTTTTTGTCAGCTTTTGACTTCCAGTGCTGTGCGTTAAGTGCTGCTCGCTGCCTTCCGTGCTGCTGAGTGGGCCGATGGGGACTGAGAATTTCCATAGTCCTGTTCTGCCAGCTGGCCCTGGCTTGTTCTGTCACGAGACACATCACGTGCCTTCCATCTGAGGCACAGCTCTGTAGAGGGTAGACTCTTGTTGAACTACGTACAGCTGCTTTGAAAGTATTTGTTAATAAACCTTAGTTCTTAGAATTAATTTTAACAGAAGGGGTGTCTCATTGTTTTCAGAGGTATAGCTTCATGCATCAAACAGAAATGTGTTAATTCATTTGATAATTTTGTTAGAAATTGGAAGGTTTGATGTGAAGTTTTTTTTTCTTTGGCTTAGTCAGTGATCGATCATATATCTATTCCTGCATCAGAAGTTTAACTAAACTCTTTCAACAGGACTGAAGGGAAGATCTCTGACCAGACAGAAGCAAAGCTGAAGGAAATAGTCACAAGTTTCCTGGCTACTTTTGAGTCATAAACTCAAAAGTTCAACCAGACCAAGCTGTTGTGATCCCGTGCTCCAGCTCCATCAAAGACTTAAAATTATGTGCGACTTGAATGTACAGATCTGCGAGAATAAAGATTTCCATGTAAAAAGGCTTCTATATTCATTTCTGAATTACTGCTGCTTGAGCAGCACATGCCTGTAAAACCACAGAGTTAAATTCCCCTGGGCACGTGCTTACTAAAGGAATGCTGAAAAATCGTGGGGTGTCTTATCTGTGGGGTGGATGAAACTCCCCTTGCAAGAAGGAGTAGGTACCAGTCAGAGCCTGTGGCTGAGGATGCAGCTCCCATCGTGCCAGAGCTCTTGGTTGTGCGGTTTGTCCCTTCCGCGAGGCAGCTGATCTCGGGGGAGGGCAAACAAGTGGGGAAGCAGTTCACGCTGTCCCGTCACGGGTGGTAACTAGTTGGACTGCAGGGCCTTCTGTAACAGTCCGGTGCTGCGGCAGCGTGTTGCTCAGACTTGCTGCGAACCCATCCTGGTGCCTGGCTCTCAGCACACGAGCGTGACTCTCCTTGTGTCTTGGGACAACCGCACGTGCGGCTGCTGAAGCCGTAGCCACCAGAGATTTAAACGCCACCATCCTCTGCTCGACTCCAGTTCTGCGGTTGTTAGTAACCTGGGGGCAGGTTATGTACCAGGGCACCTGTTCCGTTGCCTGGCTTGGTGCGTGCTGCGCGAGGTACGGGATCCCCGTGTTTAGAACTTGTGTCTGGGATGCGGGGAAGTTCAAAGTCCCGTCGCTTTGTGTGGTGCGTTCAGCCTTACAGGGTACGGCGGAACTCGGTCCCTAATCCTGGGTGCGCCGCTGCCCCACGGTTACCTGTGATCGGCACTGCTGTTGAGGCCGTTCGCGCTGTCCCCAGTCAACTTCCTTCATCCTGCCTCCAAACCTGCTGTGTTACGAACAGCTGGAAACATTTCATCTCAGCCTTTCACACAGCTCCAGGCTGGCAAGCTGCTTTGTTCGTGGCTTGAAGTTCTTTGCGAGTGGGAGCTCTGGCTTCTGCAGGACAGGAAAAAAAAAAAAAAAACAAAACGTTTTTAGTCCACAAGTGTTGGACACCTTTCTGGGAAGGGCTGGTGTGTTGGAGGAGCGCTGCAGTCCTGGAGGAGGGCTTCCTGTGGAGTTCCTTTTGTCTTTCACCAACCCTTGTACACAGCTCCAGCACGTGTGCCTGGGGGCCTTCGCAGGCGTGACGGAATGCTGGGGTGGAGCCTTTGTCTCCGGTGCCCTGCCCCGCTTGTCCCTTCCACCTCTGTTCTTGCAGAGTGACTAAACCCCAGTTACTTGTTGGTGTTGCTGTGTCATGTTGTACTCGCATGCTGCTGTAGTTAGGAAGCACCAAGCTCAGGGGCGTCCTAGTCCAAAATTGCAGAGATGTATTCTGGTAACGAATTCCAAAACTTGTGATTTCTGCCCTGCTGCTGCTGTGAGGCAGGAAGGCGGTAATACCCGCACTGTGTGGTAAATACAGGCAGAAGGGCGGTGGGGCTGGTTTTGAAGGGTCAGTCGCAAGTCCCGAGGTGCTGTGGGGTGCCCTGTCTGTGGGGTTGTCGTGGTTTAGGCCTGGTTGGCAGCCAACCACAATGCAGCAGCTCTCTCTCCCTTCCCCTCCAGCAATGAGAAGGGACAGAGAGCCAGGCTTGGGGTTCAAGGTAGGACTGGGATGGGGGAAAATCCCCCTTTTATGATCACGAGCAAAAGGCAGACTCGTTAGGGGAAGAAAAAAAGAACATACATTTATTACAGACACTAACAACACATAACAGAGCAGGACAGTGAGAAGCATTACTACATCTTGAGAACACCTTCCCCCCACCCCTCCCTTCTTCCCGGGCTCAGCTCTGCTCCCGATATCTCTACCTCCTCCCCCAGTGGCGCAGGGGCAGGGAATGGGGGGTGCAGTCAGCGCTGCCACTTCCCTTCATCTTCAGTGAGGGGAGTGTCCGGAACTTGTTCCTCCTGCTCCATCGTGGTCCCCCTCTCACAGGAGACAGTCCTCCACAAACTTTCTCCGACTTGAATTCCTCCCATGGGCCGCAGCATTCCCCACACTGCTCCGTCATGGGTCACTAACTTTCTCCGACTGGATTCCCTCCCACGGCTGCAGCCCTTCCCGAGCTGCTCCAGCGTGGGACCCCCCCTCCCCCATGCTGCAATCCTCCCAGCGCTGAATTACAGCAGCGGGGCTGCCTTTTCCCATGAGACCCCGGCCTGCTTTGGGCACAGCACCTTGATCAGGCGAGCAGGAGCAACAGGCCATAAATCAGTGTCTGCTCCACCGTAGATCTCCATGGGTGGCAGAGGGGGGCCGCCCTGCCGTCTCCCCACAGGATACAGGGGGGTCTCTGCTCCGGCACACCTCCCCCCTCCTTTCTTCCTCTGTTCCTCCACTGACCTTGGTGTTCACACAGCTGCAGCAACTCCTCCTCACAAGTCCCACTGCCCGTCACCACGTCCCTTCTTAAATACGTTATCGCAGAGGCGCAGCCAATTGACTCAATTTCCCAAACAGAAGTGGAGCTGGCTTGGAGCTGGGGGAGCTTCGAGAAGCTTCTCACAGGGGGCCGCCCCGATAGCCCCCTCCCCTGCCACCAAAAAACTCCACCACTCACTCAACCCAGGACAGAGGTGGTGCTGAGAAACAGCGAGTGGGTGGTGGCGGTGTGGATTTGTGGTCAGGGTCTCTGCCCTCCGCTGGGAGTGTGCGTGGGGCCAGGGGTTGAGCCAGCTGAAGAGCTGATTAAAAAAAAACAAAACAAAACAAAACAAAAAAACCCCAGAAAGATCCCAGGAACACATTTTCAAGGCAGTGTCCTGTGATGTGTCACTGTCAGCACTGAGGCAACGCTCCCTCTGCGGGTGACACCAAAGCTGATGTGGGGCTGTTGCTGCAGGGCGGGTGATGACTTGTGCGTGCTGCCCTGAGCTGCCGTGCCCGCAGCCCTGCTGCTCTGTCCGGCTCGCTTTCGGTCTTAACCCCACTCGGGCTCATCTGCCTGTCCCAAAGCATGCCCTTTCAGTGCACTCAGACTGGATGGAGAAAACTTGGATATTTATTCCAGAATTCACACTTTTGGAATTTTTCGTGTGCTTGCAGCTGGGCAGATTGTGGCTCAGCTGATAGATGTCCAGATGAGGTTGCTAAAACCTCTTCAAAGCTTTGACTGAAACCCCCTCTGCTCCGCTCTGGGGAGACCCCCCTGCAGTGCTGGGGCCAGCTCGGGGGCCCCCAACAGCAGAAGGACCCGGAGCTGCTCGAGCGGGGCCAGAGGAGGCCACGGAGATGCTGGGGGGGCTGGAGCAGCTCCCCTGGGGGGCCGGGCTGAGAGAGTTGGGGGGGTTCAGCCTGGAGAAGAGAAGGCTCCGGGGAGCCCTTCGAGCGGCCTCCCAGGGCTTAAAGGGGGGACAGGAGAGGGGGGGGACGACTCTGGTTCAGGGGGTGTAGGGATAGGACGAGGGGTGATGGTTTTAAACTGACAGAGGGCAGATTTAGGTTAGATTTAAGGCAGCAATTCCTCCCTGTTTGGGAGGTAAGGCGCTGGCCCAGGGTGCCCAGAGCAGCTGTGGGTGCCCCCTCCCTGGAAGGGTTCAAGGCCAGGTTGGACGGGGCTGGGAGCCCCCTGGGCTGGGGGAAGGGGGCCCTGCCCGGGGCAGGGGGTGGCACTGGGGGGGCTTTAAAGTCCCTTCCAACCAAAACCAGCCTGTGGTTTTCTGATTCAGATCTGAAGATGTGGCATTATGCTGATGGGGCAGGCAGAGCCACAAACAGTGAAAAATCCATGCAAACCTGGTTTCTTCAGCATAAGCCTCAGAAATGTTTGGCAAGTAGCAGTGGCCTCGGGTCACTTAATGAAGTGGAAAATGCCTTTTTTTTTTTTTTTTTTTTTTTTTTTTATGTTACTGGACTGTTTTAGCAGTCCCTGTGTTAAAGCAGAGGCAGCAGGTTAGGGCTGAGGGTATGATTCAGGATTTCCGTCACACAGTGTCCTATCTCATCTGCCTTCATCTTTTTTAAGAACTGCTCAGAGGTCGCTCGACTCAGCCTCTCGTCTGGGGCTGCGGCCCCCTGATACACTAAGGATAAGGACAGGACGCGTGTGGTGAAGCCTTCCCAAAATACTCTGCCAGCCCGTGGCCAAGACAGGTGGGGAAGGTGCTGCCGGTCGCCTGGGCACGGCTGTGCTCGGCCCTCGGCTCCCCACCTCCTCCGTGGAACCCCGCGTTTGGCCGTCACCAGTGGGTTTCTCCCCGTGCCTCGCACCCCCCCCCCCCCCCTCCGCCGCCTCCATCCGCAGCCCCCCGCCCCGGTCCCCCAACCCACCGACACCCGGGAGAGCCCGGCGAAGATCCACGCCAGCGGGGTGTGGATGTGACCGCGCCGCGGGGGTGGGACCGGCCGGGTGGGGAGGGGCCGGGAGAGGCGGCGGGGACAGCGGCGGTGGCAGCAGCATGCGGGAGTCGCGGTTCAGGGACCACTTCTGGGTGAGTGGGGTGAGGGGGGGTGTGTGGGGGGCACGGTGAACTGGGAGGCGGTGGGGCGTGGGAACGGGGACGGAGCTGCGGCGGGTGTTGTCACAGCGGGATGCGGGGGGGGGGGGGGGGGGATCGCAGCTGGGTCGGGGTGGAGGGGGGTGTCACCTCTCTCTGGGGCAGAGTGGGCTCCAAAGGCGACTTCGTGGTGACTTTGCTGAAGGCTCCGAGCATCCCCCCCCCCCCCCCCCCCCGGCTGGCGCTGCCCCCTCCACGCCTGTCCTGAGAGCTGTGGCTTCGCGACCCGCCCTGGGGCAGCCGAAATGTGCCGCGGTGAGCTGCCGCTGCCGTGCCGGAGGAAGTCGGTGCCAGGCTGAGGGCTTGGTAATATTAATTGGCCACTGGTAAACTACTTGGAGACACCACGGACAAATAACTCCCTTTGATGTTGGGATAATCCCGGACTGGGAGCGAACCCCTCGGTGTGCTGCTGCCAGCTGCGGAGGAAAAACCACGGTTCGGGGAAAGCCATGATTTATTCTTTTGAGTCTAATCTCTGCTTTTTGGGAATGGAGAAGTGCTCAATAGCCATTGAAGAGTGCTGACACTGTGGATGCTCATTTCCTCTTGGTGTATGGGCTTTTGTTCCAGGTACCGGCAACCGGGAAATAAATGACAACATTTTGGCTTTCGGGGCTGAAAATCCTCATCTGTGAATTGCACTCAGGGTTTCCCAGCTGATGCCTGGGAAGCAGCTCCCACCTTGCAGGGCTGGGGAAAGGTGCATGGGCCATGGGAGGAGTGGGTGCTGGGTTTGGGGCTCCATGCTGTGGAATGAGAGGGGTAAGTGCGAGCCGCCCAGCATCATGAGCATGTTGCCTGGCAGAGCGCCGTCAGGTATGTAAATGCCACAGAAGTATTTGAGCCTGGCTTGGAAAATAAAGCCAGTTTTGCATCTGGCAGCCATTTCTCAGCTATTCGTTGCCCAGAAATTTCCACGGTGCTCCCTCTGCTTTGCAAATGTGCAGGAGGGGAGGAATGAGAGGGTAGTGGCAGCATCCCTCAGGCTTGGGGGGAATAAGTGTGATGCCAGGAGAGTTGAGTGAACAGGGTCTGTTGTGCTTCAGCTGGGTCTTGGACTGTAGAAGAGGTCGACACCATGGGGCTGGCTTTATCTAGCACTGCTCAGTTTATTCCTCTCCTGCTGCAGCTTTTTGAAGGAGGATCCTGGAGGAGGGGCTCGGTGAGAGAAAATACAGGGGTAGGAGCTGTCCCAAGCCCCAAAGGCGAGGAGGAGCCAGAACATTGCATAGGGTGCTCATACTTGCCCTTTTATAGCAAACAGGTCTGTTTACTGAATAATCCTCTTGCTGAGCACAAAACTATTGGTGGTGCCAGGGATTTTGCTCTGCTTTTTTCTTTCGGAAGCCTGTGTGCTTCCAGCCCCCGCAACCCCCCCCCCCCCCCCCACCACTGAGGAAACATGCCTGGGGCAGGCAGCTGGGGCAGAAGTTGGAAGTGAGCGTGATGGACATGACTCAGTGGAGACATCGAGGCCCTGCTGTGGTCGTTTGGCCCATGGAAAAGGCAGGTACCACCCCAAACAGTCTCCACGCCATGTACTGGTGACTGTGCATCAGCTGTGAGGGCTGGGGAGGGAGGGGGGGGAATGAGGGATGGGCAGAAAAAAAACAAATTTACATGAGGTGCGGAGGGCTGCTCATCTGGCTTTGGTTTGCTCTTAAGTGCTATGAGAGAGTGCAAACTTCCTCCTGCAATTTTTCCTCTTAAATTACTCCGTGTAAGCCAAAAAGGAAAGGAGAACTCTTCTTTGCCAAAGCAAGAGATTTCACAGTGGTCAGATGGGAAAGGGGAAATTTTGAGAGGGCTCCAGAGGAGGGATGCTCCAGTTGATGGGACAAAGTATAAAAAATAGCCAGACCCCCAAAAGCTGAGCCATTTCTGGTGTTGCATCTCCCAGCTTTGAAGTGCAGCTGGTTGTGAATGGCGAATGCTGAATTTCTTTGCAGGAACAAGTTGCAGTCCCCCCTTGATCTGCCAGGACAGCAGGGCTGTGCTTCAAGCCTTATCTGGGGACTGATTTAGCTTTAAACCCCGACGGTTCTGGTTTCTTTGGTGGGGTGAGTGTGTCTGTCTTTCCCTGCACTGGAACCTGGTTCCTGCCGAAGTTCATGTCATGATGCTCATGATGTGCTTCATTGGGATGCAACACTGTGACTTTGATCTTTGCATTTGAGTTTGCTTATGCTCTTAGGTCTCAGCACAAGATGACAAATTTCCTTTAGTAAAGGACAGGGTTTGTTCTTTTACATCCTACTGATGTCAGGAGGTGCCCAAAGCCACATATCCATTGCCCTGAATGCCCCCGTTCGTCTGACGCTCCCTCCCACAGCCTGTGCTGCCTGCAGCTGCCTGAAAAAGAGCTGTGCAAAAATAAAAACACACTGAAGATCATGTTTGTTTCCGCTTTCCCTGCCTGTAGTGATTGCCACAAGTTGAGCAAGTGTGGGGTTTTGTTTTCATTTGCTTTTGCAACCTCCTGTTCTTCTTTTAATATACGACATTTCTTTTTCACTTTTTGGTATGTGCCTGGCACTCCTCAAGCCTGTTCTTGTGGAGTATTTTGGGTTACCCAAGAGCAAAGCTCTGGGTCTCATCAGAGCACTTTGGTCCTGTGAAAGTATGTAGGAAAACCAGAAATGATTACAATGCTAAAAACCACTTCAAGTCTGATGTATTGGCTAACAGCTTGCCACTTGGAGAGCGGGTTTTTGGTCATCTTGCTTTTAATGAGACAAAAGCAATGCTCTTTTCAGTGTATTGCGGGGTTCATTAAAAAGAAGCATTTGGTAAAACATTAAAAATAATAAGCAAATAATGATGAAGACTGAGACCTGAAGACTCTCACTAAGGTTGGTCTGGTGAAGTGGTTTTTGAAAATCAGACTTCGGTATATAAATCTTTTAGGTAGTCTCAAATATTTCTTTGTCACACCAAGAAAAAGTGATGCTGCTAAAACAATCCATGGCTCAGGCAAGTTATCTGCAGTAAAAGCTGCACTGGCATATTTAATTTTCTAACAGAGCATGTGGCAAGGTATCTGAAAACATGTATTTACTCCCCGATGCCTAGGAAAAAGCTATTGCATGTCTTTTTGCAATGGCATAATGGAAACATGGGGGACAGTAAGTGCTTTGACCCTTGTTGCACAGCAAGAGAATGCCGGTGCATGAGAAGGTTTTTTTTAGCCTTGAGAGACTGGCCAGGAATAAACTACTTTTTTCTGTGCCCCTACTGTCGAGGGATGGGGAGATCTGCCAGCCCTGGGCTCCTGGGTTCATTCCCCAGCTGCTGACTCATGGTGCGTCTGGCTGGGCTGTTTCACTTCCACTTGCCCCTGCTTGCCCTTCTTTCATTGGGGACTGGTTTGACAGGGTTTATTGACAGCGTTATGAAATCCTCAGGTTGTTGTTTGAAAGGAACCAGGTGAAGTTTGTGGGAAGAAGCAATTGCACCGGGGTGGGATGGTCCATTGCTTTCTGTGTCTCTGGGAGGAGCAGGGTTGGTGTGTTGGCATAGGGGAAGGAAACTTAAAGCCCAAGTTTATTAATGAAAGAGCTGCTGTTTGCAGGATGCTGTTCTCAGGTGGGTGAATTCCCCACCAGTCCTTTTCCTCCCTGTGATGAGTTTCGTCGGTCCTGTTGTACCCATCTGGTTATCAGACGGGGAGGATCTGCAGTGTCTCCTGCTCTCCTCACCCCGCTCTCTGCAGGCACCAGCACAAGCATTTTTCTTGATCTCAGCAACCTCTGAAGGACCCCATGTCATGGTTTGGGCCTGGTTGGCAGCCAACCACAATGCAGCAGCTCTCTCTCCCTTCCCCTCCGGCAATGAGAAGGGACAGAGAGCCAGGCTTGGGGTTCAAGATAGGACTGGGATGGGGGAAAATTCCCCTTTTATGATCACGAGCAAAAGGCAGACTTGTTAGGGGAAGAAAAAAAGAACATACATTTATTACAGACACTAACAACACATAACAGAGTAGGACAGTAAGAAGCATTGTCACATCTTGAGAACACCTTCCCCCCACCCCTCCCTTCTTCCCGGGCTCAGCTCTGCTCCCGATATCTCTACCTCCTCCCCCAGTGGCGCAGGGGCAGGGAATGGGGGGTGCAGTCAGCGCTGCCGCTTTCTTCATCTTCGGTGAGGGGAGTGTCCGGAACTTGTTCCTCCTGCTCCATCGTGGTCCCCCTCTCACAGGAGACAGTCCTCCACAAACTTTCTCCGACTTGAATTCCTCCCATGGGCCGCAGCGTTCCCCACACTGCTCCGTCATGGGTCACTAACTTTCTCCGACTGGATTCCCTCCCACGGCTGCAGCCCTTCCCGAGCTGCTCCGGCGTGGGACTCCCCCCCATGCTGCAATCCTCCCAGCACTGAATTACAGCAGCGGGGCTGCCTTTTCCCATGAGACCTCGGCCTTCTTCGGGCACAGCACCTTGATCAGGCGAGCAGGAGCCACAGGCCACAAATCAATGTCTGCTCCACTGTAGATCTTCATGGGTGGCAGGGGGGGGCCGCCCTGCCGTCTCCCCACAGGATACAGGGGGGTCTCTGCTCCGGCACACCTCCCCCCTCCTTTCTTCCTCTGTTCCTCCACTGACCTTGGTGTTCACGCAGCTGCCCCAACTCCTCCTCACCAGTCCTACTGCCCGTCACCACGTCCCTTCTTAAATACATTATCGCAGAGGCGCAGCCGATTGGCTCAGTTTCCAAACAGAAGTGGAGCTGATATAGAGCTGGGGGAGCTTCGAGAAGCTTCTCACAGGGGGCTGCCCCGATAGCCCCTTCCCCTGCCACCAAAAAACTCCACCACTCACTCAACCCAGGACACCCCAAGTGATTTTGAGGCTGTCCTAACTGTGAGCAAGAATAGCATAGCCATTTATTGTTGGATGGTGTTTCTGACTACTAAAATTCTGATCCAGCTTCTGCTGTGTTTCTCTAAGCAGATAAGGCTGAGGAGAGATACTAAGATCTCTGCATAAATAAAGATCTTTCAAGCGATGGTCTGTGAGCAGTACACTGCCTCAAACCTTTCATTTTTGGGCAGGCTGGGACAGACTGCTTGAGGGTAGGAAGGATCTATAGTGGGACCTGGACAGGCTGGATTGATGGGCTGAGGCCAATTGTATGAGGTTCAACAAGGCTCAGTGCCGGGTCCTGCACTTGGGTCACAACAACCCCCACGCAGTGCCACAGGCTTGGGGCAGAGTGACTGGAAATCTGCTCAGAAGAAAAGGGCCTGGGGGTGCTGGTCAACAGCCAGCTGAGTGTGAGCGGGCAGCGTGCCCAAGTGGCCAAGGCGGCCAGTGGCACCCTGGCTGGTGTCAGCAGTAGTGTGGCCAGCAGGCCTGGGGCAGGGATCGTGCCCCTGTACTCGGCACCGGGGAGGCCGCAGCTCCAATACTGGGTTCAGCTTTGGGCCCCTCGCCACAAGAAACACACTGAGGTGCTGGAGCGTGTCCGGAGAAGGGCAACGGAGCTGGTGAGGGGTCTGGAGCACAAGTTCTGTCACGAGCGGCTGAGGGACCTGGGGGGGTTCAGCCTGGAGAGGAGGCGGCTGAGGGGAGACCTGATGGCTCTCTACAACTGCCTGAAAGGAGGCTGGAGCCAGGGGGGTCGGTCTCTTCTCCCTGGTGACAGGGATAGGACAAGGGGAAACAGCCTCAAGTTGAGCCAGGGGAGGTTTAGGTTGGGTATTAGGAAAAATTTCTTCACCAAAAGGGTTGTCAAGCACTGGAACAGGCTCCGCGGGGAAGTGGTGCAGTCACCAGCCCTGGAGGTATTTAAAAGACGTGTACATGTGGCACTTGGGGACTTGGTTTAGGGGTGGGCTTGGCATTGTTAGGTTAATAGCTGGATTCAATGATCTTAAAGGTCTTTTCCAAGCAAAAAAATTCTGATTCTGATTCTCTCATGTCATGGGCTTTGTAGGCTGTGTATCTGGAAGGAGTTTTCCATGTAAAGTGGGCTGGAAGATGGAAATATCAAGCTCAGCAGCTTGCCTCTTAGCTGTGACTCACACAAGGTCATAATGTTACTTCAGATCCCCACTAGAGCATTTTAGCTCCTTTTTGGATAAAAGTGCAAACAAACACCAAAATATCACAACAAGCACACAAATTCCTTCTCTTCATGGAGTCCCTTGGGAGGATGGTGCAAACCCGGGCAACAGATCAGGAAGGGGGGGCACATCCTGCAGAGCCCCGAAGGCCTGGGAAACATCAGCTGCTGCTTTGTCACCTTGAAATCATCTCCTTGTAGTTTCCACGGGCTGTCCTCTAAATAGCACATGGGCTCAGAGCTCTGCGCAGTGGGGAGGACCATGACAGCCACGTGCTGCAGGGGAGGAGGAGAGATGCTCATCCTCCCGCATCCCTCTGGTCAGGGAGGGCTTGGTGCAACTCCCCATCCTCCACGCCCGTCTTTGGCTTAGTCGATTATGTCTTTAAATCTTGTCCTCTGTGCCCATGGCTCTGTGCTCGCTGTGTTGCCTTTCTTTTTTCATTGCTCCCTGCCAGCCCTGCCTTTGCGACGTCCCACGGGCAGTCACGTTGGTCCTTTTTATCCTTTCTGTGCCAACATCTGCCCAGAGGTTTGCTGAGAAGGCTGGTTTCACAGCATACAACTCTGCCCAGCATCTTCTGGACCAGGAGCTCCTCCTGCCTGGAAGCAGCTCTTCTGGAGACCTCCACCGTCTCTGTGACCTCCCATGTCTCGTGTACACCTTGCGCTGTGAGGCCTGGTCCAGCCTTGGGCGCTTAGGAAATGGCTATGAGCTGGAATAAAATCCTTCTACGGCGGGAGCAAGAGTGACAAAATAAAGAGCTTAGTGCACATTTTTGATGGATGCCCCCAATTTTTCCCCTGGCACTTCTGGCTGGCGCAGCGAGCCCAGGTGTCCCAGGCAGCAGAGCGGGATGCAGGAGCCTTCGGGTGCCTCCTGACACGCAGCGATGTGCCTCCGACCACCCTCTCCTGCCAGGCCTTGCAGGAACCAAAAGTTGTTCTCTTCATCCATCTTATTTCCTTTAAGACTGGGGATGAGAGGTCAAGTTAGGATGTTCCTGTCTTTTGCAACTGAAGACTGACTTCACTGCAAGCGCGTTTCCTTTTTCACAGACCTGATTAGCAAAGACGTGATGTGAACTAAGAACTGGTAGCGGGTTTATCAGTAATAAGCCCATTTTGGAGCGATGTTTGTGCTTTCTAAAGAAACAGAAACCGTTCTGGCTTCTGCTTAGGTCCTGCTCCACAGTTCTCTCTTCCCATGCATGTCACAGACGGAGCAAAGCTCATCTGGGATACGCGGGGATTTCCTGAAGGTCCCACTCCACCAGACCTCCCTCCTCACTTCTTGCTTTCTGCCCACTGACGTTCAAGTCCATGACTCCTTAGAGCAGTCTACATAATTCAATACTTCATTCATCACAAATACTAGCCCTGTTCTTCCTCATTTCTTGCATCAGGGGTGACCTCCTAAGAAATCCCCCCGCCTCTGCTGCCCACACTTTTGTCCCAGTTCTCTGCAAACTCTCATCCTGATTTTCAACAATTTACCGAGTTTCTCTGTCCTGCCATTATTTCTCTTCAGGATTCTTAAAGTTTGCCACTTTTGCTTCCTTTCACTGAGTTTCACATCCGGTCCTACCATTGTTTCCTTTTTGCATCCTCTTTCCCTATACCTTTTTGCTCCCACACATGCTGTTCTATGCAATACCAACTGATCCTCTTCGCAGATGACAACCAGTAGCACCTTCTTCTCAGCTCCCCTCATCTGCTTTGGGCTTCTTCCAGAGAAGGACAATTCATGGTCAGAGCATCTCTTTGCATTATCATAGCACTCAGAAGCCCTGCTTTTGTCCTGGGTCTCCAGAAGGGTAAATCCTCAACAGTCATAAGGCAAAAATCCAGTTTTTGTACTAAACTGGTTCCAGGCATGGGTATGAGGAAAGAATGGAGTAGAGTTAGTCAACCTTCATCCTAGCCTACCTATATCGACACATGTGTCTTTTTTTTTTTTTCTTTTTTTTTTTAATAAGCATCAGTATGATATATGTTTTTGAGAAGTAATTTGAAGGAAAGCATTGAGCCTTTGGAAGATGGGACTTGGCCCCATGGGTGGTGTAGGCAGGACCTTTCCATGGCTGTGATGTTTGGGGGGGGGTTGAAGAAGCTAGCCCTGTGTGATGTGTTGGAGGGCACGCAGCAGTGGGAGGGGAAGACCTGGTACTTAGGGAAATTATATTTGCAGTGGTGTTTTGAACTGATATGTGGGACAGTGTTGCTTTTTTGCGAGGCCAAGGAGAAGGCTGTTGCAGCAGCGGTCATTGGGTGCATCCACACATACTGAGGGCAGTGAGAGAAGCCCATAGCTCGGTGATCCTGTGTAGAAAGGTCGGATAAATTCACCTCCAGCCCAGATGTAGGCTCCTACAGCCAGATGTGAGGGTGATACCCAGAACAGTGCAAGTCAATGCTAACCAAGATCCATCTCCATGTCTGAAGAAACGGGGAGGAGCGGTAGACAGATGGGCTATATCTAGGGACTTGGAGGGTTTTTAGTGTTTGATTTCATCAAGTTAGAGCTGACAGCTAAGCTCCCAGGAGGAGATGACATACACTGTGGGGCCAGCTGTGCTGAGGCCAGAGGGGAGCAATAGGATGTGGTAGGACCGAGCTCTTCTGTTTTCTGAAAGTCATGGAAGTGCCTTCTCCCAAATTGCCACCACTGTTCTCATTCTGGAGCCTCTCCCACCCCTAAAACAAAAAGAGCTTATTTCATAAAGAGGTACTTGCACACCGGCTCCCAGCTGAGCCATCACTTGTGCAAATGCTGCCAAAGGTGGCAGTGGCTGTGGACTGCACTGACAAGGATGTGACTCCTGTTCTTGTGCTTTCAGAGTACAGATCTGACGAGCACAGTTGGCTACGACAGCATCATTCAACATCTGAATGAAAGCAGGAAGAACTGCAAAGAGTTTGAAGACTTTCTGAAGGAAAGGTATGGAGCTACCTCTGAAAATCGGTTGGGTTGAACGTGGGAAGCGAGGTGGTGCCACTATTACTCCTTGAATTCCCAGTTTTGTTTGTTGCGTTTAACTGTCCACTGCGGTAAACCACCTCTTACTTTTGACCGATGAGGAACTTGTTTTCTTACGCTGTTCTTTCCTTGCACGGCTGGTGTTGTGCTATGAACTCCATGCCCAGGAATCCTTAGCTGTGAGGCCGGGATAGTGCCAGAGTTTGATCCTCACATTTTGAACTGCCTGTTAAAAAAAAAGGGGACTCAGGAGCAGTTTAATAATTCAGTCTTACATGTTGTCAGACATCTGTACTGATGTGTTTGTAGCTGTTGGTGGCCTGCCCAGGCCACACACTCTCCCAGGAAGTTCACCTTGCAGTTCAGCTTGTAGAAGATGGTGAAGACCTCGGCATAGGAGATGCACAATTTTGTCCTGAATTTGTCTTTGTATATTATGGACAGCCCACAGATTTGATGTTACAAAGAAGGAGCAGGATTAGATAGTGTGTTTATTAATGAGATGATATGACCCAAGTAGAGGTTCTGTGGCTACAAAGCTACAATTGAGATGGTCTGGCCAAGTATTTTGACTTTATGGTTCACCTGGTTGGCAATGCTTAAATACAAAGAGCACTGCAGAATAACCCTGAATTAATGTAATTTTGGTGTTGAGAACTGAAGAAAACAAACCTCTGAATACAAGACTTGGTACAAACCAACCTGGAACAAATGTAATGGGGATGAAGAGGAGGAAAATGTGCAGTTAAAAGTGTCTAATGCACCTACGTCTGTCTAGGCTGTAATCCCATGTTCCAGGAAAATTTGGGCTTTCCAGCTGCCCGAGGAACCATCCGCTGAACCCTGAGAACTGTGACAATAGAGAAAGTGGGAGAGGGTACCTATTGCCTCATTTTAAAAAGACCTGAAGAGCTGAAATGACTCAGCTGAGCTTTGGGGTGCATGTATGGTGGCTGAATGGTCTTTGAGGTGCCTACTCCCTTCTGTCACATTTGGTTTAAATCAGACAAATAGGATTCAAAAGTACTTTGTGTGGGTGGACTGACAGATATTGATGGCTGAGGTGCAGAAAACATGTGATTGCACAAGCCTTGTCCCCGCAGGAAACTGAGCTAAAAACTACTGAGGTGACTCACCTGGCTGCATCTAGCCACCAGCTGCACTGGCTTCTTGGTCCTCCATCTCCTGCAGAGTGGTCCTTGCACCCACTGCCATGGGGAGATGAGCAATGCATAGGGACCACAGACAGAGCAAAACAAAGTGTTTTCACTAGAAAGGTAGTTGGGTAACCGCAAAGAAGTCTTCCTTCAGCCAACTGTCCACAGTTGGTTTGCAGCAGGTCAGAGGATAGGGAGGGTGTTGACCTCTGCTGCAAGCAAGTATCAGTTTATGAAATGAGAACTTCCTCTCGTTTCCCTCTTTCCCCAACAGGGCAATTATAGAAGAAAAATATGGCAAAGAGCTCATTAACTTGTCAAAGAAGAAGCCCTGTGGGCAGACGGAGCTGAAGTAAGTTCAGACTTGCGTGTGTTTTGCTTTTATGGGTACCCTTACTTGGAGCAACGAATGAGGAGGAGAAGGAGGGAGACTGCGAGACACTAAGCATAAAATGTGATTAGGATGCTACCAGAAGATGATCTGAAATCAGTCTTGTGAGTGAACGGTGAACACCTGGGTTGGCCTCTGCCAATAAACGAGTTGGACTCCACCAAGTTCCCACCAGCTGTAGACTAACCAAAGCATCATAGATGCTCAGGCTTTCAAGATGTGGGCTGGCCGTTCAGCAGAGGGACAAGGATTGTGAGACCTTAGCTTTGCTCCTCACTGTTTTTGTGTTCAGAGGGAAGTACAGGTACTTCCTTGACTCAAACCACGGAAATCTTCAAAGCCCAGCATGTTACCATGCCACAGGGGTGCTGTGGCCACAGCGGTTGATTCCACGAGTGGGTCTCCATTTCCTCAGTGACCATTGGCACCTTCTGCTTCCTGCTTTGCTTCTGCACTTTATACATGCCTGGTCTGATATTCTCTGATCATTTATTTACAGTTTCTGAAATATCTGTTGTACAATATTAACAGGGAGAAAAGTTCCCTACATTTCTAACCACTGGCCAATGCACCTTGTAGGTGTTTGTATGTCCCAAATGATACTTTTAGGAGGTTGCCTGAAACATTTGTTATGAAAGTCAGGATTTTTAATAGCATCCAGTGTTCAGAAAGATGTAAAGTAGATCTCAAATCAAGTGAGCTTTGTTATACTCACTGGGAGGGAAAAATCTAGAGGTGTAAAGAGGGTAAATAAACCTGCTTCAAGCTGCTTTGGCCAATGTCAAGTGAGAGTTGCTCTCTGGTTTGGGAGAGGTGCTCTGCTGATGCCTGAACCTGGCTGTGCTTTCCCACTCTTTTTAATGCTCTGTCTGTTTTTCAGCACACTGAAGAGATCCCTGGATGTTTTCAAGCAACGTAAGTAATTCTTCTTCTTTGTGTTTGTCAGGGCATTTGGCAGTGCCAAAACCTGCAGGCAACTGCATGAGAAGAAAACAGCAGAAAAACCTCCAAAACAATGTGATGCTGGAGTGAGGCATAGGCTGTCCTCCTGGCCTGGCTCAGTTCAGCACATGGCTTTGGGATGGAGTGCTCCATGGCATGTTTGGGAGAGGAGACCCATGGGGCATCCCTTTGGGGATCTCTTTGGCTTTTGGGGCTGGCTGCAGCTCAGAAGTCATGCTTGCATTGTACATCAGAAGCTGTGCATTGGAAGCTCAGCTGGATTTTGCTGGATTGGCTTGCCTTGCCCTCTTCACACACATATGCAGTAATTTGCATCTTGAATACTGGGTTCAGCTTTGGGCCCCTCACCACAAGAAAGACACTGAGGTGCTGGAGCGTGTCCAGAGAAGGGCAACGAAGCTGGTGAGGGGTCTGAAGCACAAGTTCTGTCACGAGCGGCTGAGGGACCTGGGGGGGTTCAGCCTGGAGAGGAGGCGGCTGAGGGGAGACCTGATGGCTCTCTACAACTGCCTGAAAGGAGGCTGGAGCCAGGGGGGGTCGGTCTCTTCTCCCTGGTAACAAGTGATAGCATGAGAGGAAATGGCCTCAAGTTGCTCCAGGGGAGGTTTAGATTGGGTATTAAGAAAACTTTCTTCGCTGAAAGGGTTATCAAGCATTGGAACAGGCTCCGCGGGGAAGTGGTGGAGTCACCAGCCCTGAAGGTATTTAAAAGATGCGTAGATGTAGTATTTCTGGATATGGTTTAGTGGTGGGCTTGACAGTGTTACATTAATGGTTGGACTTGTTGATTTTAAAGGTCTTTCCCAACCTAAATGATTCTATGATTCTTATTGGAGCATCTCCAAGATACCACTTTGCCCACCTTACATTGTCCCTTCATTGCCATGTGTCACAGTCCACTGAGGTACAGGATGCCAGCATCTGTACCTCGAGGGCTAGCACTCTGCTACCCTGTGCTGAGTCCGCCCTCTGCCCCAGCCAGGTTTGTCTGCTGCCCTGCACCTTGGTGGGACTCTCTAACGAGGCTCAGCCCTATTAATAGCTGCAGGTTTGAAACAGAACTGGGGCTTGAATCCTGAGCTACAGTTGGTCTTAGCTCCCTTGATGAGCTTGCTGAGGTATAGCTGCTCGCCTTCAGCAAGATGAGCCTGAGGTTTTTTAGCATTAGCTTTTCTGTGCCCCAGGTTCGTTGTCTGCTAGCCTGGGGCAACGATTCCTTCAGACAGTTGCTTTAGGCTGCAATGTGCCAAAACATGCCTGAATTCCTCTGGATGAGGGGGGAAATGTGAATGCTCATTTGAATAAATTCTCTTGATATGAGTTTTCTTAAACTGAAGGGCAGGCCCCAGCAGGACTGATCCTGAATAGCTCCTTACATAGGCAAGTGCTGCTTGGAGGCTGCTTCAAAAGTGCTGCCACTTTTATACATTTCTGCAAGGAGATGTATGATATGGATTCAGTTTGATGTCAGCTACACCAGTTGACTTGAGCAACGGAGTCCTTTTAGGAATATATAGATATATATTTCATTTTTTTTGATTTGCAGAGGTAGACAATGTGGGGCAAGGTCACATCCAGCTGGCTCAAACCCTTCGGGAGGAAGCAAAGAAGATGGAAGACTTCAGGGAAAAACAAAAACTGCATCGGAAAAAGGTCAGGAGACGCAGGAGTTTCCTGTGGCCTGCAGCCTTTGCTGCAGGGTGTTGATCCTGCCCCAGCAATGCACTGTTCCTGGCTGGTGTCTCCTGCCTGTGCCCCAGCCCCCTCCGTGTCCCTGGTGCCTGCTGCTGCTGGGAAGTCCTGAGCTCCTTCCTACGTGTTGTAACCATGTTGGTGAAATGTGTGGCAACCTTCAACTTCCTCCTTCTCACTGCCGCATCTTCTCCTTTGGGTGCCTTTTGCAGACAGTGATAGCAGGGGCTCAGCTCCAGAGATTCCAGCCTCAACTAGAAATATTTTTAAAGCAGAACCCAGCACTCAGCCTTGTTGAACCTCGTACAATTGGCCTCAGCTTATCGGTCTAGCCTGTCCACACACCTCTGTAGAGCCTTCCTACTCTCAAGCAGATCAACGCTTCTGCCCAACTCGGTGTCATCTGAAAACTTACTGAGGGTGCACTCAATCCCCTCGTCCAGATCTCTGATAAAGACATTACAGAACTGGCCCAAATAGTGCTGTATGATGTCCATAGGGTCTGCTAACATTGGCAAGCTTTTTAAGTTCTTCTGGCTTGAGATTCCTTTGTCTGGAAAATGAAGAAAAACTGTGAAAACCAGGGGCTGGTTTGGACCTTGCAGAGGGGAGTGGGCTTCCCAATTTTGCCAGACCATATGGAGACAGTACAGCACTATGTATGGCTAGGATTTCATTTGTAGATCACCTTTGCATGCACAAGTGAAAGCTTAGATAGAAGCACAGAATAATGAATGTCTTGGATGGGTTTTGTAAAGATGCTTTGGGTAGAGGAGGGTCCTTAAACCCACCTCAACCTGCTCTGTGCCTCTTCCTTTCCTAAGCTACATAGATCATCTTGGAGCTTTGATAGTCAGTGATGTGCTGACTCCGAGTCTGTTGTCTTCACAGATAGAGCTGATAATGGAGGCGATTCACAAAAACAGGAATTTGCAGTACAAGAAGACCATGGAGGTAAAGCAAATGTGCTGCTGTTTCTTGCTGTATAGGTAAATGCTGCTAACATGCACACACAAGGCCTTCCTTGTCTGCTGCAAGTCCCTCTGTTGTGTCTGCATGAGTGGTGTGCAGGGCATGCTCAGCAAAATTGAAAAGTATGCATGGGACTTGGCTTGTGGTAGCCTTGCAGGGTTGGATATGAGTGATTTAAATGTCACAGACTTGATTGCCTTGAGCTTTTCATATTGAGTGATAAGTAGCTTGTCTTGTGAACTTGGATTTGCCTAGGCAGTGGGGCATGTGGGACCTCCCATGCCATCCCCTGCTTAGCTGGCAGCCTGCGCCCACCTCTTCACTCGTAGGCTGTGCTTTCCTCCAAAGCATCCCGCGTGAGCTGAATTTGCATTTCATTGCTTGCTGACATGCTCCTGCCCCGTTTGGTGGCTCTCCTAGGCCAAGCGGCTCTACGAGCAGCGCTGCAGGGATAAGGATGAGGCGGAACACGCTGTGCACCGCAACGCAAACCTGGTGACGCAGAAGCAGCAGGAGAAGGTATGGGGAGAGAGGTGGCCATGGGGCAGGGGGAGAAAAGGGTGTCTCTTCTTGCAGCTCTCCTGCCCCAGTTCCCAGCTCTGGGGTTTGAGATGAGTCGGAAAGGCTGCTGATGTTCCCTAGTTGGGCTGCAATGCCACCTGTGATGCACCAAGGATCTCCTCTACCTTTCTTCTCTCTCCCATTTTTGGCAGTTGTTCCTGAAGCTGGCTCAGACAAAATCAGCTCTGGAGGACTCTGGTGAGTGTGGAAAGGGCAGTGTTTGGAGACTGAGGGCAGAGTTTCCCGGGGTCCAGGGTTCTGAAGCTGTGGCATGGCTTTTGGGCGAGCTCCAGCTCTTGGGTCAGGCATGGCTCCTCAGAAACAGGTGCCCAAGATACCAGAGGTGGTAACCTGCCCTGGAGAAGCCTGCACGGCCCCACCAAGGCTGCTCCCATGGCACAACCCTCCACCATGATGTGCGGCTCTGTGTCCCCTTGCAGTGTCCACCAACAGCCGAGCCCACACATTACTGCTGCTTTCTCCCTGATGTCCCAGATGTTCCAGGCTTCACATATTACCTTCTAGAGAAGGGTTTTTTTCCCTTAATGTTAATCAGATGACAACATGATTTCTCTCGCAGACAGGAGTTACCAGCAGAACGTTATCACACTGGAGAAGATCCGGGAAGAATGGCAGAAAGAGCACATCAAAGCTTGCGAGGTAAATGCCTCAAAACACTTTCATGTGTCAGCATGGTCCTCTGGATGTCTGTCTCCTTGCTGCGGAGGCCAGGGACAGTGCAGATTTGCCTTCTCTGTATTTCTCTGGCAGGTGTTGCAGCTAACCCTGTGTTTGTCTCACACTTGGCTTCTGGATTCAATGTCCCACTACTTTGAAATTTCCACTGTTTTAGTTTTTATTTTTATTTTTATTTTTATTTTTATTTTTATTTTTATTTTTATTTTTATTTTTATTTTTATTTTTATTTTTATTTTCTTCCACCACCTTTTAAATCTGAAAGTCAGTGCACTAAGTAGTGACATTTTTGCTCATTACCTGCTTGCACATTTGGTGTTGCCATTGTCTTGACCAATCTTGGCCATGGTCACCTCTGCACACCTGGCAACTCCAGGCCAATACGTGCTATAGCTGCAAGACCACCCAGCGGCCTGAAACTCTGAAAGACTTTAAATGACTTTGCAGCAGAGGCTGGTGGCAGGCTGGGGATTTGGGCTGGGTGAAGCCATCCCCATGCACCAGGAGCCTTTCGCCTTTATCTCACGGACCACATGGTGGTGTGGAAACCCCTCTGAGCGATGGTATCAGCTTAAAGCAGACTGTCCCTTAGTGAAGTGGTCTAGCAAGGATTTATAGCATGTGCTGGGGAAGTCCAGAGCTGGTGGCAAGAGGACTGTGCAGCTGCTCTGCTGTTGACGGGTGTCCTGCAGCCGCCTGTGATCTGTGACTGACAGTAGACAGGGACTGCAGATGTCCAGGTTTTATCCCCAGGTCTGCTGCAAGCTTGAAAAAGGTCTGCCCATCCCCAGCCACACCAATCCCTTCCCAAGCTTCTTCTCTTCAGGCTTCTATTTTAATTTTTCCTTTTGAAATGGAATTTGCTGCCTGTTTTGTGTGGCGTGCATTGGTGTCTCAGTGCTGGTGTGCTTTTGGTGTCTGAGGTCTCCAAAAGCCTCTCTCATGGTGGGGTGTGAGAAGCAGTAGTTTCAGTTCTGCAGATGGATCACATGAAAGTTTTCCCCTCAGTGTGTTGCAAAGGTCATAACTGATAACAAGTGCATATGTACACTTTGGATGAAAAGTTATCTTTCATGGAAATGAATAAAGGCATGTGAAATTGAGGTCTATCAGACAGCAGATTTCAAAAGACTTGGTTTTAAACCTGCTTGGAAAAAGGCTGGGCAGGAGAGAGTGAGAAGACCAGCCAGTCAACGCACCTCTGTTTCCATACATCACCAGTACTTTTTTATTGCTCTGTACCTGTGGGAGCGAAGTGATCTGGGTCCGTGGGACCACAGGGTGAACAGGGAACATGCGCTGCCTTCAGAAGCTGGCTTGGTTCCCCCAGAGGGCACAGTGTGCCAGGTGACCCCTTTGACATTGGTCCTGCAGACTTTCCCAAGCTTAACACTCATCTTTGAAATATCTGGTTGTGTAGAGAGATGATTTCTCTTCCGGACAAACTGGAGGACTTGTGGTTTCCATATTTCCTACAGGAGACCACTATCACCTGCTCCTCACTGAGGACAGTTGTCTTTGTAGTGGTACTTGGGAGTAAGAAACATTCAGGATAAAAAATATTTGCTCTTGTTTTGAAGACTTTAGGGCTGTTTTGCCTGTGTTGTTACAGTTCTTTGAGACTCAGGAGTGCGAGCGGATCAACTACTTCCGAAATGCCCTCTGGCTTCATGTCAACCAGCTCTCCCAGGACTGTGTCCAGAATGATGAGGTACGTCAAATGAAGGTCACTCCATAACTTCATTTTTCTATTTGGAAAGCAGAATTTTCTTTCCTGTGCACTGAGCTGTGTTATGTCTGAGTTGGGCTGTGGCCTTTGATCAGCCACCAGGCACCAGCATGAATGTACAGGCAGAAGGTTTTGGTCAGAGCTCTTGCAGGTGAGGTTCCCTCTGGGATTCCCACATTTTCTGAGGGTGGCACTGGAACAGGTTGCCCAGAAAGGTTGTAGATGCCTCATCCCTGTTGACATTCAGAGCCAAGTTGGATGGGGTTTTGAGCATCCTGATCTAGCTGAAGATGTTCCTGCTCATTCAAGGGGGGTTGGACTAGATGCCCTTCAAAGGTCACTTCCAACCCAGACCATTCTGTGTTTCTATGATTCCCATACCATTGCAGCTTGTGTCCTGGGTGAGCACTGGACTTTCACCCCACGTGTGATAAATGATTGGAAGAAACCCTCTTGTTTTTTGACCTGATGTCTAGAAATACTTTTTATTTCTCTTTGACAGAAATATGAGGAAATCCGCAAGAGTTTAGAAATGTGCAGTATTGAGAAGGATATTGATTTTTTTGTAAATCTGCGCAAAACTGGAAGTTTGGCTCCAGGTAAGAGCTCATACAATCTCACAAAGTAGTAGTGACTTCCTTGTTCTCATGGAGCTGCTGCTCTGATCAGTATCAGTTTGGATGCAAAAAACATTGATTTTGCAACATTAGTCCTTTCATTCACTGGCATGCAGCACTAGTCTGTCACTTATCACCAGCAACAGAAGATAATTTCCCCTTTCTGTAACTTTCAATTTTGCGATAAGGCATTTTCCCAGAGAGGGGAAAGACTTAGCAGCTGAATGTTGGTACGACAAGTAGTTGATGGCTATAAAATGTCTGACTTTAATATTGTTAACTTCTCCTAGCTCCTGTTGTTTATGAAAACTACTATAATACGCAGAGAAATGCAACTCCTGTGAGAAGTCCGGTTCCTGTACCTATATCAAGGTAAAGGACATAATATATACAGTTGCAATTGCTATTGTAAATGATGCTTTCCCCCCCAAAAAACCCATATTTTGTTGCTTCTCAGTCTACTGGAGGCTTGACTTGGGAATATTTCCCATGTTATGTAGTCCATCACTTCACTACGAGTTATCCCAATATCCTGCCTACTGTAAGCTGTTCAAGAACCCCCTCAAGCCCAGTCAGAGGTTTTTGCTCCCCCTTTTGGGGTCATTTTCTCCCTTCTCATGGTTGGGAATCCTATTCTGAAAGTGTCTGTGGTGTGGGTCTGCTCATTTTTTCTTGTACCAAGCCTATTCCAAAAGTCCTTTGCATGTAGGTGAGTGGCTGTGGTGCTTGGACAGCAGAAAAGCAAGGCAGCTTGGAGTATACTGAATTTCATGTCTTGTTCTCTCTGGGAACTCTCTGAGCTCCCTTTTAGAGCAGCCTTTGATACCAGAATGAAATTTTCCAGGCTTCCCTGCATGGTTCTCCATGTGGTCTGTCTATCTAAGGAGAGATGGATCAGTTAAAAGCATGCGTGGGTAGAGGGAGGAACAGCAAAGCCAAATTCACTCCCCTGGGACAGAAGCTGGGCAGAGAGGACAGGCTGACATCTTCCTTTCTGCCGGAGGGGGAAGAAGACAATTCAGGGCTAAAGACTGTGCAAAAGATGAGTGTGCCACTTTGACTGTCACATTGGAAGAGGAGTCATGTCCAGTTATGGCTTTCTGATGTCTCACTCTGGGCAAAGGCATGTAAAAGGGCATGCCCTGAGGCTCCCTGGGGACTGTTTCCCGAACTTAGTGCTTTTTGGTTACTTTTTCCTCTCCCCCACCGTAACAGCTTAAATTCCCATGTTTGCCAAGCTGGCTGTCGGTGGTGAGCCCAACATGACATGCCTTGGTACCACGTATCCATAAAGCCCAGCCTGGCCAAACCTCTTGCCCTCCACCAGCTCTGAGAGGGCAGCTGGGGAGCGCAGAGCCAGGACAACAGGAGTCCCATAGCCATGCAGGTCCTCAGCTCTGTGTTTCCTTTTGTGCAGGAGGGGACCTCTACCCACCCCGACCAGTGCGCCAGGTGAGTTATTTGCTTTATGGGGTTTCTGGCCCCACAGAGGAAGTCTCTTCTTTTCCTCTTTCCCATCAGACCATAAGCTTTAGCTCTCTAAAGGGATTGCTTTAGGTGAAGCTCTTGCTCTAAGTCCAGTCCCCACTGGGATGCTGTAAAGTTGGGCACCGACTTTGGAGGCAAGGTTTAACCCAGGAGAAGTTCCGATCAAAGCCCTATACGTAGGTATTTCTGAAGCTTAAGGCCATCTATGCTTGGGATCCCACCAGTATCTGCAGTTTGGGACTTCCTCTGCTTCAACAGCATAAACTATATAATTCCCACTGACACTTCAGTGATGGGATACTGCAGTGAGACGCAGTAAAATGAGGTCCTGCTTTGGTTCTTCAGCAAATCATCTCTTTGAGCCTCATGCACCCTTTCTTCCCATCCCTTTAACATGGGTGGCCAGTGCATGGTTGTTTCTGTCCTGTGTGAAGTCTTGTAACGAGCACTTCTTATGAGCAGACTTAATTTTTTTGTGCTCTCTGTTTCAGGTGAGCCTGATTATGCCACAGTTGACGGCTACAGCTTGATACATCACTAATAGCCACAGTAAGTACTCACATTTGATGCAGAAAGGATTTAATATGAGATGCAGCTACACAGAGGAGGGACAGTGGAGAAAGAAAGGCCACTGGTTAAGGGGTGACATTTTCAGGTGACTGACTGGGAGTGATCACTTGTCTGAGCTGGATCTGTGGTTTAAATGCTGTTAATCTTGTTCTGTAGGTCCTACAGGCAGAAGACACTGTTGGTCTGGCCAGTGTCGCGGAGGTCGTGTTTCCATTTATTCACAGCCACACAGAGCTGGTGTTTCTCCGTTTTAAGGAAGTATTTGAGGACTTTGATAATTATTTGTACAGTCAGAAAGTGCTTACTAAAAATCTGTGCCTTTGATCAGCAAACTCCTTGGACGGATATCCCATCTTTGCACTCAGGGGAAGAAAAGGAATATAAGCCACAGACCCAGACACAGAGGCTATCTGCGTCAGAAGTTTTTGATTTGAACTTCTTCTAAAGTTCAGCCGTCTGGGAGAGGCTGGAGCCTCCCACTCTCCAGAGAGCTAGAAGTCATACATGCCAAGGAGAGCACTGTGCAAAGCTTCGGGCATGCTGCCCTGTGTTTGGGGCATATGTATCCCACTCAGATCTCAGGTTATACTTTTGCCTGTTCCTGAAGTCTTTCATTAATGGTGAATAAACTTGTAATTTAGGTTTCATTTCGGTCATGTCTCTCAGGGAGCTTACTTAGAGGAGCACCAACAGTTACACCGTGTGTCTGGCTTAACTGTAGATGTGCTCCAGGCTTAAGCAGTGATACTGGAAGCTGATTTGCACCTTGCCTGGTGCAGCAGACCACAGCACAGTTATCTAGCGAGAGGCTGTGCTGCCACAAACACACTGGGAAGTGCCGCACCCTACAGTGTTGTTGAGGATCTGAAGGACGTCAGTCAGCTTCTCCAACTGCCTCTCCAACGAGGGGCTTGCAGTTTTTTAGGTTCATGGTATAGCTTGCCCCTGGTAGGCTCTGGAGACTCCCATTTGATTAATTTGTGGGAATCCCTAAACTTTGGACTTGTTCTGACTGTGCACCCCTAGAAGCAAACTTAGGTACTAACAGTGGGCTGAAGCCATCAAACTTGTTTTCTGACCAGGTCTCCTCAAAGTTTGTGCCCTTTTTGTTACCATATATATGATTATGGCTTTGACTCAGAAGCTCACATGCCTCAGGGCTGCTGGTCTCTCTGAAGTCCCTGTGCCCAGTGTTGCTAGCAACACTGGGCACAGGGACACAGGACAGTGGGAACCAGGACACAGTTTAGCTGTTTAAACCTAGAGCTAGGTCACTAGCTTTGGAGGAACAGAAGTGGCTAGGTGTATGAAGTTCTTCAAGTTGAAGCTGCATGACTTCTAGTCCCCAGGGCTTTTAATGTATTTCCTTGTGCAGAGACCATGGCGAGATTTAACATCGGTACTGCTGCATTATAATGAACTGTGCAAAGCACTCGAGGCATCAGTTGTCCTATTTTATTTCTGAAAGACCAAGTGTACAAATATTATTCTGAAGGAGCCTTTTGTAGTCTTAGTTCTTTAAATACACATTTTAAAAATAAGTCTTGAGACTTGTGTGCTGGATTTTGTTTTTTTTTGTTTTTTTTTTTTTTTTTTTTCTCCTAAAGGCTGTCATGTTCACTTTGTCAGGGCTGGGGTTGGGACTGGTACACCTTCAAAGCATCCTACGAAGATTGGGTGGTGTGAGTTGCCTCTCCTGGAAGGAAGCCTACAAGGGCATATCCTTGCTTGGCCTATTATTTCTGTACTTGCTCAGTACCAATTCAGTTGTGGGAGAGTACATCTGAAGGAAGGCTGACATGAGAAGAAGTACTTGTGATTAGCCAAGAATTGCAGACCATATAGGGCTGGAAGAGCATACAGTCTATAATATGTTGCATGGTTTCTTTATAGGGATTTTTCAGCTGACTGAGCACAATAGATGGTGTTAGGCTTTTTTGGATGCCAACGTCCCCAGCGACGCTGAGACTTGGCTTGCACATTCACTAAATGCACAGAAGTAATCCCAAAACAGGGGTGCTGGTTCTAATTCTGAATACACCAACTCTTTGATTAGACCTAAAGCCAAGCAAACCCTGGCTTGGAAGAGGAGTGTCTAGACATGGAGCTACTGGGAAGGAAGTCTGTGTGCCCATGAGCACCAAAACAACTTTTTGTCTTCATTAACTTCACTTGTCTGGTTGTCTTCCAAGCGGTGCCAATGACTTCAGCCTCTTCCCAGGCACCTATGGAGGAGCCTGGCCTCCTGCTGGGCCCCTACAGAAGTGCCTGTCCTCCCTACAGACCCTGATAGCCAGCTGTGCCAGCTTCTCAGAGCAGTGCTGTCTGCACAGCTCCTGCCATCCCACCCTGGGATGAGAGCAAGACAACAAATGTCTTAATAAGATAACTGCATTAATAAGACACAATATAAAGAGGAATACAGATTGCAAGTAAATCTTACGTCCCTTCAGAAGCTGGGCAGCCTGCTTTCAGGCACAGTCTGAGAGAGGTTTCCCTTTTTGGTCCTTTGACCTGCGGGAATGCAATGGGAGATTGGCAAGGAAGATTGTAAACACGGTCAAATGACTTGCAACTAGGGTCCCAACAAACAAATACATCAATTATTGTTCAGCTTTGCGTGCTTGATGGGTAGAATGTCTGCATTTACAGTCTGTGAGAGACTCCGGCACCTTATCGAACATCCTTGAGATTCCTACCTTGCTGTGGGAAAGATCAAAACATTGTTGAAAACTACACCTGCAAAAACCCTTGATATATACACAGGTGAAAGCAGCAGGTCTGAGATCTTTTCTTTCTTCACCTCCTCTTTCTGGCTAGCAAGGACCAAGCTCCTTGCTTGTGTTTCTCTACCCACATGCTGCTGCAGAGATCCTCTGGGTCATGAGGTAATGAGAATAAATTTACTCTTTGCATTTCGTCCATGGTTTTGTGGTTGGACCTGCATCTGGCCTGTGTCAGCTCACACAGAGACAACATATAAATTACTTACAAGAAAACATCTCTATTCCTAAATTATGTTCACACAAGAACTTCTTGCTGCACTTCCAGATGCAGGCAGGTGGCATAAGGGCTGGGACGACACAGGAACTGCCTGCAGACTGCTGCTGCCATGAGCTGGCTGAGCTTATCCTGCCGCCAAGGGGCTTGTGCAGCACAGCACAGCCCCATGCCTGCTGTGGGGATCACTGCCTCCTGGTCAGGATCAGTGTATCCCTGCCTTGAGTCACATACAGTTTGCCCTTTCTAGAGATATAGTAAATTACAGATTGTGTCAGTAACATATGGGTTTCTCAAGCCCTAAGGAAAAGGTCTAATAGAGTTGACATTGCCTGTTCAAGATTATTAACTCCTCAATTAAGATGTCTTCTGCCTGAGGTCTGCAGGGGCTGGTCCATCTGGGGACTGGGACTTTTGCTCCCGGTGGTGTTTGGACTCGACTCCTGCTATGGGTCCCTGGGGATGGCTGGGTGCCAGGGCAGGGATCAGACAGTGCAGCAGTGCCTGGCCCCCAAGGCCGAGAAAGCACCAGAGGAGCCTCAGGCACTACAGGACAGGCTGCCCCACTCCAACTGCGTCTCCAGGTCCTGCTACAGTGCAGCGTGAAACCAGCTCACCCTCCCCATCCTCTGCAGCAGGGGGTCCACTTCTCACCTCACATTCCCTCTAGCAGGAGCCTGCCCTCCCCACAGGACTGGGAGGGGACAGGTGCCCACAGGTCTCCCCTCATAGGGGCAACTGGCCACCCCCCAGGCCCCTATAGCGTAGCCTGGAATCCCCTCAGGTCCTTATAAGGCAGCCCTGCCTACCCCCAGGCCCCTGTAGGGCAGCCCGGGCCGCCCCTCAGGTCCTTATAGGGCAGCCTGGCCTCCCCTCACGTACTTACAGGGCAGCCTGGCCTCCCCTCATGTACTTACTTACAGGGCAGCCTGGCCTCCCCTCATGTACTTACTTACAGGGCAGCCTGGCCTCCCCTCATGTACTTACTTACAGGGCAGCCTGGCCTCCCCTCACGGACTTACAGGGCAGCCTGGCCTCCCCTCACGGACTTACAGGGCAGCCTGGCCTCCCCTCACGGACTTACAGGGCAGCCTGGCCTCCCCTCACGGACTTACAGGGCAGCCTGGCCTCCCCTCACGGACTTACAGGGCAGCCTGGCCTCCCCTCGTGTACTTACAGGACAGCCTGGCCTCCCCTCGTGTACTTACTTACAGGGCAGCCTGGCCTCCCCTCACGGACTTACAGGGCAGCCTGGCCTCCCCTCACGGACTTACAGGGCAGCCTGGCCTCCCCTCACGGACTTACAGGGCAGCCTGGCCTCCCCTCACGGACTTACAGGACAGCCTGGCCTCCCCTCACGCACTTACAGGGCAGCTTGGCCTCCCCTCACGGACTTACAGGGCAGCCTGGCCTCCCCTCACGGACTTACAGGGCAGCCTGGACTCCCCTCACGGACTTACAGGGCAGCCTGGACTCCCCTCACGGACTTACAGGGCAGCCTGGCCTCCCCTCACGTACTTACAGGGCAGCCTGGCCTCCCCTCGTGTACTTACAGGACAGCCTGGCCTCCCCTCGTGTACTTACTTACAGGGCAGCCTGGCCTCCCCTCACGGACTTACAGGGCAGCCTGGCCTCCCCTCACGGACTTGCAGGGCAGCCTGGCCTCCCCTCACGGACTTGCAGGGCAGCCTGGCCTCCCCTCGTGTACTTACAGGGCAGCTTGGCCTCCCCTCACGGACTTACAGGGCAGCCTGGCCTCCCCTCACGGACGTACAGGGCAGCCTGGCCTCCCCTCATGTACTTACAGGGCAGCCTGGCCTCCCCTCACGGACTTACAGGGCAGCCTGGCCTCCCCTCACGGACTTACAGGGCAGCCTGGCCTCCCCTCACGGACTTACAGGGCAGCCTGGCCTCCCCTCACGGACTTACAGGGCAGCCTGGCCTCCCCTCACGGACTTACAGGGCAGCCTGGCCTCCCCTCACGGACTTACAGGGCAGCCTGGCCTCCCCTCACGGACTTACAGGGCAGCCTGGCCTCCCCTCATGTACTTACAGGGCAGCCTGGCCTCCCCTCACGGACTTACAGGGCAGCCTGGCCTCCCCTCGTGTACTTACAGGGCAGCCTGGCCTCCCCTCGTGTACTTACAGGACAGCCTGGCCTCCCCTCGTGTACTTACTTACAGGGCAGCCTGGCCTCCCCTCACGGACTTACAGGGCAGCCTGGCCTCCCCTCACAGACTTACAGGGCAGCCTGGCCTCCCCTCGTGTACTTACAGGACAGCCTGGCCTCCCCTCACGGACTTACAGGGCAGCCTGGCCTCCCCTCGTGTACTTACAGGACAGCCTGGCCTCCCCTCACGCACTTACAGGGCAGCTTGGCCTCCCCTCACGGACTTACAGGACAGCGTGGCCTCCCCTCACGGACTTACAGGGCAGCCTGGCCTCCCCTCATGTACTTACAGGACAGCCTGGCCTCCCCTCACGCACTTACAGGGCAGCTTGGCCTCCCCTCACGGACTTACAGGACAGCCTGGCCTCCCCTCACGGACTTACAGGGCAGCCTGGCCTCCCCTCACGGACTTACAGGACAGCCTGGCCTCCCCTCACGGACTTACAGGGCAGCCTGGCCTCCCCTCGTGTACCTACA